GTGCGTGGGTCTGTGCGCGGGTCTGTGCGGGTTCTGTGCGAGGTTCTGTGTCAGTGCGGTATCTTGTGGTTCTGTGCGTGTTCAGTGTTCTGTGCGTGGTTTCTGTGGTTCTTGCGTGGTCTGTGGGTCCTGTGCGTGGTTCTGTGGGTCTGGCGTGGTCATGCGTGGTTCTGTGGGTCCTGTGCGTGGTTTCTGTGGTTCTGTGCGTGTTTCTAAGTGTCTGTGCGTGTTCTGTGCGTGGTCTGTGGGTCTGTGCGTGGTTTCTGTGGGTCTGTGCGTTGTTCTGTGGGTCTGTGCGTGTTCTGGGGTCTGTGCGTGGGTTCTTGGGTCTGTGCGCGGGTCTGTGCGTGGTTCTGTGCGTGGTTCTGTGGTCTGTGCGTGGTTCTGTTGTTCTGTGCGTGTCCTGAGGGTCTGTGCCGTGGTTCTGTGCGTGTTCTGTGGTCTGGTGGGGTCTGTGGGTCCTGTGCGTGGGTCTGTGTCTGGCGAGGGTCTGGGATCCTGGTTCAGTCCTGGTTTAGACCATGTTTCTGTGTCTGTGCGCGGTTCTGCTCGTTGTTCGTTGGGTCGTTCTGGCGTGGGTCTGTGTCTGATCTCTGAAACTTCGAAAAAGATGGAGCCTTCTAAAATCATTGGCTGAATTATGAAAATTGTATTAAGCAAGCTATTATTTATTTATTTTTTCCCCTTGGTCTGTGAAATGCACGATATAGACCTAGAACAGGGTAGTCCTGGTTCAGTCCTGGTTTAGTCCTGGTTTAGACCTGGTTTAGACCTGGTTTAGACCTGGTTTAGACCTAGTTCAGACCTGGTTCAGATCTGGTTCAGACCTGGTTCAGACCTGGTTCAGACCTGGTTCAGACCTGGTTCAGACCTGGTTCAGACCTGGTTCAGACCTGGTTCAGACCTGGTTTAGTCCTGGTTTAGTCCTGGTTTAGTCCTGGTTTAGTCCTGGTTTAGACCTGTTTCAGTCCTGGGGTAGTCCTGGTGTTTAGACCTAGGGTAGACCTGGTTCAGTCCTGGTTTAGACCTGGTTTAGTCCTGGTTTAGACGTGGTTTAGGCCTGGTTTAGGCCTGGTTCAGTCCTGGTTCAGTCCTGGTTCAGTCCTGGTTTAGTCCTGGTTTAGTCCTGGTTTAGTCCTGGTTTAGTCCTGGTTTAGTCCTGGTTTAGTCCTGGTTTAGACCTAGGCTAGACCTGGTTTAGACCTAGGGTAGATCTGGTTTAGTCCTGGTTCAGTCCTGGTTTAGTCCTGGTTCAGTCCTGGTTCAGACCTGGTTTAGTCCTTGCTGACCCTTCTGTGTGTTCTTAGCGTGTGCTGAAGTGTCTGATGAAGAGGAGCTAGAGCCGACCTCCACAAAGGCCCAGAAAAACAAACGGACCAAGAGGACAGATGGTGAGTACAACTGATCCTGGTTTAGTCCTGGTTTAGACCTGGTTTAGACCTGGTTTAGGCCTGGTTCAGTCCTGGTTCAGTCCTGGTTCAGTCCTTGTTTAGACCTGGTTCAGTCCTGGTTCAGTCCTTGTTTAGACCTGGTTCAGTCCTTTTTTAGACCTGGTTTAGACCTGGTTCAGTCCTAGTTCGGTTTAGTCCTGGTTTAGTACTGGTTTAGTACTGGTTTAGTCCTGGTTTAGTCCTGGTTCAGACCTGGTTCAGACCTGGTTTAGGCCTGGTTTAGTCCTGGTTCGGTTTAGTCCTGGTTCAGTCCTGGTTTAGACCTGGTTTAGCCTGGTCTAGACCTGGTTCAGTCCTGGTTCAGTCCTGGTTTAGACCTGGTTCAGTCCTGGTTTAGACCTGGTTTAGTCCTGGTTTAGACCTGGTTCAGTCCTGGTTCAGTCCTGGTTTAGACCTGGTTCAGTCCTGGTTTAGACCTGGTTCAGTCCTGGTTTAGACCTGGTTCAGTCCTGGTGTTGACCTGGTTCAGTCCTGGTGTTTAGACCTAGGGTAGACCTGGTTCAGTCCTGGTTTAGTCCTGGTTTAGTCCTGGTTTAGTCCTGGTTTAGTCCTGGTTCAGTCCTGGTTTAGACCTGGTCCAGACCTGGTCATCAGGATAAACATGTCTTTATGTGTCTTATTGTCTCCATCAGAAGCTTCTAGAAACCCAAAGAAACCCTGGAGTGAGGAGGAGAGCCGTGGAGAAGAGGATGGAGAAGTACCTGGCTCTGTGTGCTGTGCCTCACACAGGAGTCTGCAGCCCTCATCAACAGAACCTGGAAGGACCTCAAGTACTTTGTGTATAATACTATTATCCGACTCAAGAGGCAGCTTGTGTAGCTGGTATTTGTGTCAAACTCCTTCCCAAAGCGCCGCAGTGGCTGCAGGTTTTCCATCAGACCAAGCAGGAGCAGAGCAGACTCCTCCCATTTCCTCAGTGAGTTCAGTCTTAACCTGAAGGTTTGAGGAAATGGGAGGAGTCTGCTCTGCTCCTGCTTGGTCTGATGGAAAACCTGCAGCCACTGCGGCGCTTTAGGAATGAGTTTGACTGCCCTGCTTTAATGTTAAGTGCAGTTATGTTTTAAAGTCCCGTTCAAGAGCACTTTGTATTAGGTCCTTTGTAATTGTCCTGTTGGGACAAGTCAAAATACAAAGATGCAAATAAACCTGTCTTTCAAATGTTTTGCTTTGTTTTATTAAAATTGCTGTGATCCCACATAATAATCTGTGTCCATTTGCACATGTGACCAACTATATAATTCTAAATATACCTTCAAAGAGTTAAAAAAAAGGTCTATTCATGATTTTTTTTGCAAATTTCACTTATTGCCCCCACTCTGATGGTTCAAAACTTTTTCTTAAATCTTGGTTCCAACATTTTTTCAATGGAGTGTATAGCTCCGCAGCGCCATCAAGTGTCTAGAAAGTGTTTTTTATTCCTCCTAAAACATTGGGAAAGGCAAGTCCTCAGTTTTCATGTTTTTAACTACGACCTCACTAGTGTTTGCGGGAATGTGTGTGTTTGTGTGTGTGTGTTCTGGCGAATAGAGACTGATTCTTGAATGTCTGAAGTGTTATTGCAATAGCACCACACTGAGAGCGAGGGTCAGGGCAGATAGTAACATGTGTGCACGTGTGTGTGTGCGCGCCGCGGACACGAGTGCACACACACACTTCAGCAACGAGCGTACGAGCAATGAGAAATGAATGAATGAGAATGAAAGTGTGGAGCAAAGCGATCGGAGGCAGGGAAGTTACAAGTGTGTGTGTGTGTGTTCTGGTGATTAAATAAAGACTGATTCTTTAATGTCTGAAGTGTTACTGCGATAGCACCACTGAGAGCAGGGTCAGGACAGAGGGAGTTATACTCGTAGGAAACGCTTTTCTTTGGCCTTGCAGCCACACACTCCCTGTGCCCCTCGGTCTGGGGCTTATATGAAAGGTTTAACAGAAGCGGAGAATATAAGAAAGTGCAGGAGAGACGTGTGTGAAAATGCGTGTCACAGGAAGACCTGTAATGTGACGCAAGATAATCAGATATTAGGACCGACATCACACACATCAGGTCTGAGTGAGATATTAGGACCTACAACACACACATCAGGTCTGAGTGAGATATTAGGACCTACAACACACACATCAGGTCTGAGTGAGATATGAGGACCTACAACACACACATCAGGTCTGAGTGAGATATTAGGACCTACAACACACACATCAGGTCTGAGTGAGATATTAGGACCTACAACACACACATCAGGTCTGAGTGAGATATTAGGACCTACAACACACACATCAGGTCTGAGTGAAATATTAGGACCTACAACACACACATCAGGTCTGAGTGAAATATGAGGACCTACAACACACACATCAGGTCTGAGTGAGATATCAGGACCTACAACACACACATCAGGTCTGAGTGAGATATCAGGACCTACAACACACACATTAGGTCTGAGTGAGATATCAGGACCTATAACACACACATCAGGTCTGAGTGAGATATTAGGACCTACAACACACACATCAGGTCTGAGTGATATATTAGGACCTACAACACACACATCAGGTCTGAGTGAGATATTAGGACCTACAACACACACATCAGGTCTGAGTGAGATTTTAGGACCTACAACACACACATCAGGTCTGAGTGAGATATTAGGACCTACAACACACACATCAGGTCTGAGTGACATATTAGGACCTACAGTATAACAAGCACTTCAGGTCTGAGTGAAATATTTATCAATCGTTACTCCTTTCACGGAGAGTAACTCTGTAGATGGACAAATACATTATAACTTTAATGTAGAATTATTTATTTTTATACATTGTGTTTGTAATTTTTGACACCTCACTTTTATATTTGTTTTTGATGTTTTAAATTCTAATTTAAACATGATTTTCCAACTGGAGTTAAGACAATTTTTCAGGGAGATAATCTACTGACACAAGGAGAACATGCAAGCTCCACTCCAAAAGGCCCCTTCTGGCTGAAAGTTATTTTCTTTTTTTTTTTTTACAAACACACACTCACTACTCAAGTATCTTTTTAAATTACCATGAGTCAATATTTTGGCTATTCTACCCACCTCTGGGAATGTATTTAAGTTTGTGACAAAATAGGTGACATATGAGGACAAGTGTGTGTGTGTTAAAAGTGTGTTAAGGTAGTACCGTGCACGACCAGAGAGGCGCTTCAAACTTTTTGGGACGGAGTGTTTCGGCCCCGACACACATTTTCACTATTTGTAGACATTTTGGGACATGCTTGATTTTTGGTGTGGAGCTTGTTCTGGGCCTCTACAACACTGTAGTATGCATGGAAAAATGGGGACCTGAAAAAAGTCCTGACATTTCCTCAGGTCCTGATATTGAAGGTGTGTTATCATACAAAAGTCCTCATATGTCCACAAAACAAACGCACACACACACACACACACACACACACACACACACACACACACACACACACACACACACACACACACACACACACACACATAAAGAAGTTCACCATGTACCTAACTGTATTTAAAGAGCATTATTGATGTCACATGACAGTGAAGCAGAGCGGTTCGTGGCCAGAGGAGCTCAGAGAATCGGGAGTCGATATAAAAAAGCTCGATACGTGGAATACACCGACAGCAGCTTCCTCACCAGGATGTTGAGGAGCCCAGAGGAACTGCACCTCGGCATTCTGGGTAATACACACGCACGCACACACACAAACACACACACACACACTTAGGAGAGGAGCTGCACCTCGGCATTCTGGGTAATACACACAAACACACACATACACACACACAATACATGGTAATACACACAAGGCTACAATTGGGCCTGTGTCTGAGTGTGTGTGCGTGTGTACGTGTGTGCGTTTTTGTGTGCTTGTGTGTGTGTGTGGTATGCGCTGTGCTTTGTCCAACCCATTTTCAAACAATGTTATTACTTCATTATGTATTCTCTTATTGTTTTACCTTTTGCACATATGATTGACAAAAATATTTGCTAAACTACTAAACTCAATACAATTAGAGAGAGAGAAAAAAACCAAGCAGTTCCAGTTATTATAAACCATCAGTGGCCCACTACCAAATGTGGACGGGAAGCAAATGAAATTCAGTCATCTGTATCAGCTAAATACTTTACTTTCCTACTCAACGAATGTTCACGCAGAGGACTTGCCTTCATTGAGAATTTTAATCTGTTCTGGAATAGGCATGAGCTTTTTGAAGGGAAAGGGCCACATCTGAACACTTACGGAGTAAAAGTGTTGATGGATAACCTTTCTTTTGCCCTGAGATCTCAGCCTGCGCAGCGCGTGCAGCCATCGAAAGGGAGGAAGCCAACTCCAAAAGTCTCTGCACCTCCACCACCTCGAAGGATCTCAACACCACCACCACCTCGAAGGATCTCAACATCATCACTGCCTCAAAGGATCTCAACACCTCCACTGTCATCAGGAGCAGCTGCATCATCACCAGCAGCAGCTGCATCATCACCAGTAGCAGCACCAGCAGCACGATCACCACCACCAACATCCTCATCCCCAGCCTGCTCCAAAGCAGTCACGCCTTCTTCATCTACAGCGCCTCTGAAGCCCCCATCCTCACCCCAGCCTACAGCAGACAGGCCTGTGCTGGGGTCTCCTCAACCACCTGCCTCTCCATCAAAGACTCCCTCGCCACCTCCCATGGACCTGTCTTGGGTCCCCCCTGCCACGTCCACTCCATCAAGGAACACCAAGGGACACCTCCCTTTGTTTATCATCCCCGCCTTCACTGTTAAGGCGCGTTCAGACCAAAAGCTTCAAAAAGCTTTTGACGCGCTTCAACTGACGCCGGGATAGTTTTGTCATTTTGGTGCTTGAAGCTTTTGACGCGAGTGACGCGCCTGACGCCGGTGGGAGGAGCTTCTCTGTTGTCTGTGGGAGGAGCTTCTCTGTTGCCTGTAGTCAGGACAGCGGTGGATTTTTCAATGAGCAGCGAGCCTTTATTTGTTATATAAAGCAAAATAACGTTGTTGTAGGGCTTCAACAAAACATGTTCTGGGTTCACCACAGACTTGAGAGGCTTCAGTGTTTGCAGAGTTCCGTCATTTACTCCAGGAGCTGCGTACGGTGGAGTTTCGCTTTCAGCGGTACTTCCGCATGTCACTCACCCAGTCTGAGTTCTCAAACCCCGGAGCTCGCCTCTCCCTGCCTCTCCCTCGCCTCTCCCTCGCCTCTCCCTGCCTCTCCCCGGCTCTCGCTCGCCTCTCCCTGCCTCTCCCTCGCCTCTCCCTGCTCTCCCCGCCTCTCCCGCCTCTCCCTGCCTCTCCCTCGCCTCTCCCCGCTCTCCCCGGCCTCTCCTCGCCTCTCCCTGCCTCTCCCTGCCTCCCCCTGCCTCTCCCTGCCTCTCCCCGCCTCTCCCTCGCCTCTCCCTGCCTCTCCCTGCCTCTCCCTCGCCTCTCCCTGCCTCTCCCTCGCCTCTCCCTCGCCTCTCCCTGCCTCTCCCCGCCTCTCCCTGCCTCTCCCTCGCCTCTCCCTGCCTCTCCCTGCCTCTCCCTGCCTCTCCTGCCTCTCCCCCTCCTCTCCCTGCCTCTCCCTGCCTCTCCCTGCCTCTCCCCGGCTCTCCCTGCCTCTCCCGCCTCTCCCTGCCTCTCCCCCGCCTCTCCCTGCCTCTCCCCCGCCTCTCCCTGCCTCTCCCTCGCCTCTCCCTCGCCTCTCCCTGCCTCTCCCTCGCCCGCCTCTCCCTGCCTCTCCCGGCTCTCCCTCGCCTCTCCCTGCCTCTCCCTGCCTCTCCCGCCTCTCCCTGCCTCTCCCTGCCTCTCCCCGGCCTCTCCCTGCCTCTCCCGGCTCTCGCTCGCCTCTCCCTGCCTCTCCCTCGCCTCTCCCTGCCTCTCCCCGGCTCTCCCTGCCTCTCCCCGGCTCTCGCTCGCCTCTCCCTGCCTCTCCCTCGCCTCTCCCTGCCTCTCCCGGCTCTCGCTCGCCTCTCCCCGCCTCCTCTCCCCGGCTCTCGCTCTCGCCTCTCCCCGCCTCTCACCGGCTCTCGCTCGCCTCTCGCTCTCGCCTCTCCCTGCCTCTCCCCGGCTCTCGCCCGCCCGGAGCTGCCTTGCTCTGAGCCAGACTCATCGTCAGCCTGTTCTTATTTTAAATAAACTAGGTTTACTACACATCATGTGTACAATGATTTTTGTTACTCAGAACGTTACTACTCATACAAATAATATTACTAATAACAATAATGACAATAAAACAGCAGCAGCAGATACATGACTTCTCTCCATGACAGAGACAGACCCTCTGCTGCTGCTGCTCCTCGTCTCCTGATTGGAAGAAGCCCGCGTCAAAGCTTCAAAAGCTCAGCTTTGCTCAGCTTCGGCATCAAAGGAATTGTTGTGATACGCGAGCGTTTCGCGCGTCAAAAGCTTCAAGTGAGCGCGTAGTACGCGCGACTCTTGAAGCTTTTGAAGCGCGTCAAGTGACGCCGGGGCTCTCGGCTTCACCTGACGCGCTTCACCATTCACTTTCAATGGAAACCTGACGCTTTTGACGCCGAAGTTAAGTCCGGTGTGAACGCCCCTTTAGACCTACCTGAACACTCTGCAGGGCTAATAAAATCGGCGATGAAGACTATTCCTCTCACACCCATATTAGCTAGATCTAGAGTCCTGTCCAACATTCTAAACCACTCCCCATATGTACCTCCAAAACCACCTAGGGTTTCCAATTCACCTACAAAAACCACCTCAGCCAGTCCCTCCCCTAACCCCATGACCATTCCACCCCCACTTCCCCCTCGTTCAACACCCAAAACCTCTGCCTCAGCCCACCCCGGCCCTAACCCATCACCAAAAACCCCTCCACCTCCCTGCCCCCCTCGTTCAACACCCAAAAGCCACCCACCTCTCCATCCTCCTCCCCTGCCTTCCCCTTCCCCTCTTTTCTCTAAACACTAGGATGCACAGGGTCTCTGCTTTGCAGCCACTGGCAGTCTAGTTAGAGGAGAGACCCGGCTGGGGCCCTGTCATGAAGCCACCTGTGCCATTCCCTTAGTGATAACACAAAGAATACATTACAGAAAAACATCTGGAGTTAATCAGTCTAATCTGGAAAATCTAATTCTTGTTCCGTGTAAGAATCAGCCGACCACAACCGCTGATACTGAAACTTTGAAACTTGCTACGCTTAATGTCAGATCTCTTTGTAACAAGTCTTTTTTAATCAATAATTTTATTTGTTCTCATAATCTTGATCTTATGTTCATGGCTGAAACTTGGCGTGACCAAAATTCAGGAAATGCAGTTTTAATAGAAGCATCACCACCAAATTTCAAGTTTGAATCTGAAATACAGGAAAACAACAAAGGAGGAGGCTTAGCTGCCATTTTTAGAGACCACTTTGTCTCCCATAGAATGTCTCTTGGGAAGTTTTCGTCATTTGAATATGTGTCTTTTAAAATACAACAAAAACAATCTCCTCCAATACTCTTCATAATTTTACCGAGTTGCTTTCAGTTGTATGCACATATTTTGATAGTTTGGTTATTACAGGTGATTTTAATATTCATGTGGATAATGTTGATGACAGAAATGCAAATGAGCTGAGTTCTGTACTTGAATCTTTTGGTCTCACTCAGCACGTAAGTGGCCCCACCCACAGCAGAGGGCACACTCTAGATCTGTTAGTTACTAAGGGGGTGAATATTTCAAATGTAAACGTGGTCGATGTTGCTCTTTCGGATCATTTCTGTGTATTTTTTGACATGTGTTTCACTAACAAACCACCAGTGGACTCTGCAACTGTTCGAAGAAGGCGCATAAATGAAAATACGAGTGAACTATTTATGGGAATGATAAACTTTGAGAATGCATCGTATTCTACTGTAGATGAACTGTTTAACTCTGTCACCTCTAGTGTTTTGAATGTTCTGGATACCGTTGCCCCTGTGAAGGTTAAAATAGTGAAAAATAAGCAGAAGGCGCCGTGGGCTAAAGCAGACTCGGTCAGGGCACAAAAGAGAAAGTGCCGGAGGGCCGAGCGGAAGTGGCGCAAGTCCAACCTCCAGGTTGATTACGAGATCTTCAAAGATAAGTTGTGCGAGTTTAACCGGGTGCTACGTAGTACGAGAGAAAGGTATTTTTCTGAAATGATTGAAGGCTGCAGCAACAATCTGCGTGTCCTGTTCTCAACAGTTAATAGATTAACAAACCCCCCTGTTCAGATGCCATTAGAGCTAACTTCCAAACGTAAATGCAATGAGTTTGCTAATTTTTTCAATGACAAGGTTCAAGGCATCAAAAACGCCATTGTCTCCAATCCACAGATAACCATCCAAAAGCCAAAAAGGCTCTCTGAGCTAACTCACTTTGCACCTGTAAATGAAAAAACTGTCCAAGAGATAATCTCCAGTTTGAGCTCCTCCACATGCAGCTTGGATGTACTACCCACTAGATTTCTGAAGTCTGTTCTGAGCAGTCTGTTACCTTCACTCACACAGATAGTAAACATGTCCCTTCATTCTGGAATATTCCCAAAGGCCCTGAAAACTGCAGTCATCAGGCCCCTGCTAAAAAAGAGCAGTCTCTATGCTACGGTACTTAACAACTATCGTCCCATCTCAAATCCCCATAAATGCCATTTATGGGGAAAGTCCTTGAGAAAGTTGTCTACCTACAGCTTACTAGATTTCTTATAATCAACAACTCATTTGATATA